TAACAATTTTTGAATTTACTTCCACATTCGTCTACAATATCTTCAAAACTAAAGGTTAAATGTAACTTGCTGTTGACATTCACATGTGGGGATTTAGATGTGAAATTGAATCAGTACATTGAAGCTCCTCAGATGATGAACACTTTACATTTTGGACACTGAATGAACTTTCCTCTATAGACAACATCAGGATAAACATCACACTTTTAGTGTCACTGATAAGGCTCGAAGAATAGTTACATTTATTATTTATTATCTCCTCTTCAAACAAATATTAGACATTTTTAAAAATACCTTACCCTGTATGGCTCGGTATTGTTCTGCAGGTCCATGCTTGAGATGACCCAGCTGTCAGAGGCGGCCTGGCTGTTCCACAGCGGCTTGTCAAAGCTCTTTCCCTCTGTGCGCTGCAGGACTTCTAGGCTTCCCGACCCGCTGATCTGGTAGACGAGCCTCAGGCAGCTCCACTCGTCCTGCTCCAGAGCCGGACTCAACAGGACCCCTGTGATCGCTCTCTGTGGCCCAGTTTCTGCACCTATCTCGCCAGCCTGGTTATCACTCATGACTCCGTCCACTGCAACAAAACGACCTGAAATGAAAAGGTATGTGGGATTTAGAACAAATTAATTGCTAACATTGCTGATGTTAAGTGGGGAAAAAGCTGTGATTTGAGGGAAGACTTTTTATTCTACAGGCACAAAATATTGTCAATATCACTTTAATCTCTTTTTGAATGTTGAATGTTTTTTTCTGTTTTATTGTCTGCAAGCCCTTAAGTTTCACTGTAATCTAGTTCTTTGAAAAGTTAAAAGAAGATGAACTTGTGATATACGTGTTGATAAGACTCTTTTGTCTGTTATTGTGGTTATTTTTAAAACTGATTAAGGTTTTCTGCACAGCAAAGTTTGAAACCTAAGCTCTGAATTGATTTGCCACACAGACAGATAAAAAGTAATGCAGTGATGTAACAAGTAGTTCAGTCAAAGAGTTTTCTGGGATTCCTCTTCTGTGTGTGCCTTACCTTCAATATACAAACCAAGTGCTTGGCACAAAGTCACTTAATTCTCAGAGAAAGTCATAAGTTACTTATAAACACAATATTTGCTAACGAGCAAGCTACTTGCGAGCATTGACAAGCCCAGAGTGAGAAGCATGAAAGACGGGGGGCTCCAATGAAGCTAAATGCTAACATGTTGGCATTTAGCAGCTAATGTTTGTTACCATCACAGTTTAGCATACTAACATTTGCTTACTAGCAATAAACACAAAGAACAGCTGAGATTGATGGGAATGTCATTAGTTTTGCAGGTATTTAGTCATAAACCAAAATGCTGAGCAGGCTGAATTTTTGACCTGAGGATCTGTCACACATCTTCTCTCTAAGATAAAAGGCTGAATACCGTCTCTAATGGAACTTTTATCTAAAATAAAATAAGAAAAGTTGAAATTCAGGGAATCAGGAATAACACATCAGGAATTCAGCTCCCACCAAAACAGAGACTCTTGGCTTCTTTTTTTTTTTGCTACTGGGGCCTCTGGACTCTCCTCACCCGTCTGCCATTTATTATTTGTCCCTGTGGAATGCCGCGCTGCCTTGGGGCTCCTATCCTGACAAACACGCACGCTCAAAATGGGGATGAGCTCATTTCACATTTAATGCGGTTAATCCAAGATGTATTTCTTCTTTTCTTATGCCAATGAATTGCAATTGTTTTCAAATGTTTGTATTTACACAAGTTAACTTAATTGAAACGTAACCGATCATAACATGGCGCACAATCAAGTTCTTGATTTCATCAGTGTCTCTGCCTTGTTTGAATTCAGAAAAGAAAAATAGTACCTAAAATGCTTGATATATTTGACATGACTTAACTCAGCTGTGCCGCACAGAGCACTGCTGAGATCGGGGAATAAATGAGCAAAGACTGAGCACACCATTGGCTACACTGACCTTTTAACAAGCCGGCAGCAATAGCAGCAAGGATGGAAACAGGAAAAGAGAAAGTAGTTGGCGTTTCCCAGGGGGAAGACTGGCAGCGAGACAGGCTGCAGCAGCAGAGCAATTTTCATACAACTACAAGCAAGGATCATGGGAAAAAAAGTCTTAGAAGAGCAGTTTTTCCAACGGAGTCTAGCTGCAGATACTGGAGCAGCAGGGCACAGTCATGCCTCCCCAATCCAAAGGGTGTTGATGGGAGATGGTTAGGTTTAACAAGAATCATACACTCCTTTTAGAAACCAGCAGTTAGTCAATCAATACATTGGTTGGTCCATAGTCATCAAATTGATATAAGGCCAACTTTGGTCATCGATTAACTCTCTAAATGGTTACTTCTTAAGCACCAATTGGCTTTGTCCACTTCTTTAGTTACCACTTATGCTGGTTATAACTGTGTCTGTGGGTTACAGAGCTGAAGTCAGGACATTGCTAGCCTAGCTTAGCATAAATACTGGAAGCAAGATGAAACTGTTAACCTGGCTGTCCAACCTTCAAAAATACCCCCACCATCACCTCCAAAGCACACTAGTTAACACATGGTACACACTTGTTTGATCAATACGCTAACACAAATGTAAAAATGCCTCTTTTTGGTTTTAGCAGGAGTTTCTGTGATTTCTGCTGGAAGCCTCATTTTGACAACAAATATCTGGGAAGTCACTGCACCGAACTGTTGTCCCCCCCCCCCTAGTTTCAGTCTTTTTTTCCAAGCTAGGTCAATCACCTCCTGACTCTCTTATCTCACTCTTGGTAAGAAAGCAAATAAGCATATTTCCCCAAATGCTCCTCTGTTCCCTTTAAGAGGTTATAGGCATTCCTTTCATTGACAATACACCACTGAGTACGAGGTTAAAAGTAATTATGATTTCAGTATTAGATATTTATAAAGTCAAGTAGGCCCGCTTTAATATGTTCTGGCACTGGAGGACTAAATATATTCTGATTCTTACCAAAATATGGTTGTCTGATTTGCCTATGATTTGGAAGTGTGGATTTAGGCCGATTTATGCTGAGAATAAAGTCCACTGAGCAGGACCTGGTCCAGTGTCTGCACCTTGAATCAGACCAGTACTCGGACTGGTTCTGGTGGATCATTCATTATAAGTTTACCATAATAGGCCTGCCAGATTTAGTTTTTACATTTAGGTCTTGTGAAGTTAAAATCAGATCGAAGAGCTGAGTGTTTCGTAACATCAACATAACCTCCACCTCTTAAATCAGGCCCTGCTTCACGTCACAATTAACTTGACAGGATCCAGCTGCAAGTACAACATGAGGCGTCTGTCTCAAGATATCTGCAGCTGGACCCTTCTCAACATTTCGTGCAAGCACGGCTACAGCATGTGAGAATGAAGTCAGCAACAGTTGTGTAGTCTCTAGAACAGGGGAATGTACAAATGATCTAAGCCGCATTCATCTGTTGGCTTTCATCGCTTAACATAAATATTGACTGACATAACGTACATATGTGTGTGTGCACAGAACTCGACTGTATCAGCTGCAGTACTAACCCAGCAAGAATGCCTAAATGTGTTATTTCACTGACTCCAGATGTTCGGAGATGCTGGAATCAATGCAGACCAGATGGGCTTCTTTTCACTGGCATGCTTCGTAACTAAATAAAAATAAGTAAAAATAACTGCAACATCACAGCTTGAACCACTAAAAGAGCCACAGTAAAGCCTACACTCAGTGCCAGAAAAAAACGTTTTAAAGAAAAGACTGAAGATGCTGTGTGGCAAGTTCCCCAGTACCATCTTTATGCAGGGTCCAGCTTGTGAAGTCTGCATCTGACGTGTATCCGCAGGTGTCGGACTCAAAGTTGCAGGAGCCTGGCAACAGCTGGTTGTGGGCTTGGATGGTGGCTTTGAACACAGAGAAAGAAAACGAGGGAGGGGAGAAAACGGAGAGAGGGAATGGTAAGTATGAATCATAGCAACTGGCATTAACAGAAACATGCCCTCATTCACCAGCACTGACACGACCGTTAAAAAGTACTCACCAGCAAAAGTCAAGAGGTAGAATGGAAGCATTGCAGCTCTCTCTGGAAACAGATCGACCCTCAGAGGAAATAAGGAAAGCAAAAGTAGGTCTGTTTGTCGAAAAAAGAAATACAAGAAGTTGCAGGAAAAGTTTGTTTTTGAAGATTCCTCTGGTGTGTTGTCGTTTGTGTCTCTCCAGCTCACAGACTGGCAGCACACTGCAGATGCTCCGCTGGGAAGTGTGCATGTCTGGACAACAGAGCAGGGAGGAGGAGGAGGAGAGAGGGCACTACCGAGGAGAGAAGGAGGAGGAGAAAGAAGGTGAGTGATGACCTGGTGGGACGCCAGTGAGGGAGCAGAGGAAAGAGAAACAAGGGAGGGTGGGGGAAAGAAGTGTTTTGTTAAATGCAAGAGGTATCCTAAAAGAGACGTTTCCAACAACGCCTGCAACAGTTTCCTAACCCTAACCAAGGAGTTTTAGTTAATTAATTTAGCTAACCAAACCGTGACCATAGTTAAACCAAATGTTGTTGTTTTGGTTTGAGGTCGATGTCCAGTAAATAAATCAACATGATAAGATTACAATAGAGACAATCCACATGCAAAAAATCATACATAGAATGTGAACATGGAAATGAAGAGAGATGGATCCAGGAGCTTCCAGGTGTCCCACTAACACAGGGGTGGGCAATTATTTTTCCCAAGGGGCCGCATGAGAAACAGGGACTGTTGTGGAGGGCCGGACCAATAGACTGAACTCAATCCTGCTCAATATTATTCTTGCAACTAGTATATTTGCTTGTAAACTCAGTTCGCCAACACATTGCAGTGACGCTGCTGCTCGCACATACGTTCACTAACATACGTAAATTGAGAAGAAAAAAACAACAAAAGTCGCCTTCAATACAGCTATGCAATGCAGCTATATTCTGTGCATGATGTAGGCTACACGTATTTACGTTTTATTCCTAATTTCACAATGACCTCGCGCGGGCCGGATGTGGCCCGCGGGCCGTACAATGCCCAGGTCTGCTCCAGATGAAGCTGGTTCTGTCCACGCAGGTCCAGACGGTGCTCACCAGTTATACCAGCGGACCACAGGCGGTTTTTACGGCGACAAGTGCTTCAAACACTTTAATGGAGAGTAAGCGGTGTTCATGACTGTCGTTGGTGGATTGTCCCCACGAGTCCTACGGAGCTAATGAAGTTAGCATGCTAGCAGCAAGTAGACGGACCCGAACATATCCTAGAAACACAGCGCAGCTCAGAGTGAGCAAACCGGTTTAACGGTTAGTTTGTCTGGAGGAGAAGTTGCTGTGGTTTCGTGAAGATGTCTAAAGTCCAAATGCTGAGATGTTTAGTCAACCAGTGACTAACTGCGGCTGCTGAGGAGGTCTTTGGGATGTTTGAAAGAACCATAGCAGAGTATGAGGAGGAACTT